CACACACACACACACCCCACACACACACACACACACACACACACACACACACACACACACACACACACACACAAGACACACACACACACACACACCACACCCACGAGGAGAGGTTAAGGGAAATCAACCTGACGACACTGGAGGACAGGAGAGATAGGGGGGACATGATAACGACATACAAAATACTGAGAGGAATTGACAAGGTGGACAAAGACAGGATGTTCCAGAGATTGGACACAGTAACAAGGAGATACAGTTGGAAGTTGAAGACACAGATGAATCACAGGGATGTTAGGAAGTATTTCTTCAGCCACAGAGTAGTCAGTAAGTGGAATAGTTTGGGAAGCGATGTAGTGGAGGCAGGATCCATACATAGCTTTAAGCAGAGGTATGATAAAGCTCACGGTTCAGAGAGAGTGACCTAGTAGCGATCAGTGAAGAGGCGGGGCCAGGAGCTCGGACTCGACCCCCGCAACCTCAACTAGGTGAGTACAACTAGGTGAGTACACACACACACACACACACACACACACACACACACACACACACACACACACACACACACACACACACACACACACACACACACACGGGAACTAGGACTCGACCCCTGCAACCTCAACTATGTAAGTACACACACACTGGAGGACAGGAGAGATAGGGGAGACATGATAACGACATACAAAATACTGAGAGGAATTGACAAGGTGGACAGACACAGAATGTTCCAGAGATGGGACACAGCAACAAGGGGACACAGTTGGAAGTTGAAGACACAGATGAATCACAGGGATGTTAGGAAGTATTTCTTCAATCACAGAGTTGTCAGGAAGTGGAGTAGTTTGGGAAGCGATGTAGTGGAGGCAGGATCCAGTCATAACTTTAAGCAGAGGTATGATAAAGCTAATGGTGCAAGGAGAGTGACCCACTAGCGACCAGTGAAGAGGCGGGACGAGGAGCTGTGACTCGACCCCTGCAACCACAACTAGGTGAGTACACGCACACACACAATGTGGTCATGCTTTATTTACATGGAGCAAAGTCAGGGTATTTTTCCAGAAGGGTCTATAATATACCACTGTGGGTAAAATACTTCGACATTTCTTGAACATTTCTGAGTGAGTTGTCTCTAAATTCATTTATTTTATCGCACTCCAGTACATAATGACGCAGGGTGTGACAATAGTTCATCTGGCAAAGTTTACATTTCGTTTGGTCTACTTCTGGTGGTGGTCATCGATACCATGCCTAATCCTTCTAGGGTAGGGTAGGTGCCTGAGCCCGAGCCTTTAGCTCATAAGACTGTAAGATAAGAGATAAGATTTCGTTCGGATTTTTAACCCCGGAGGGTTAGCCACCCAGGATAACCCAAGAAAGTCAGTGCGTCATCGAGGACTGTCTAACTTATTTCCATTGGGGTCCTTAATCTTGTCCCCCAGGATGCGACCCACACCAGTCGACTAACACCCAGGTACCTATTTGCTGCTAGGTGAACAGGACAACAGGTGTAAGGAAACGTGTCGAAATGTTTCCACCCGCCGGGAATCGAACCCGGGCCCTCCGTGTGTGAAGCGGGAGCTTTAGCCACCAGGCCACCGGGTCATTCCCATTTGCCCCCTTGGGGCGGGGATGGCAGACCAGAGAGGCCTAGCTTGTGGCCTGGGGACAGTTGGTCCCAAAGATGAGGAGGTACTTGTGCCTCCTCCCATGGGAGACTTAGGTCTCAGACACTCTCTAAAGAAGGAGCCAAGGCCGGGCCACCACTTGGAAAAGGCCCGGGCCGGGAGAATACCGGCTAATCTTTAATAATAATAATAAATCTGGTGGTGGTGATTTAACTTGCCCAAGATACTTGTATCCCAGCCGGAGCCGGGCGGTAATAGTGTACTGGAAAAGTAATTGAGATTAATATTGTGTGTGCATTTGTGAAGAATGAACAAAATACTTCTCATCAGATCGAAGAATTACTTTTGAAGTTTTAGGAAGGAGAGAGAGAGAGGAGGTACAAAAAAAAAAAAAAAAACTGTCATTAGAGAAAGTTGACGTAACATATTTCAGTTAAGCCCAACCTAGCCGCCTCAGCCATTATCAAAATATCAGAGCATTGCAGATCTCGTTGACGTCTGCCCTCGTTAAATTTCGTGTAGTAGCGTAACTTTCTATCATGCACTGTTTTACGGTCTGTGATGGATGGGGAAAACTCCCCGTCATGCCAACTGCATATAATAAAATAATCCCTATGTATGATATGTTTATTTAAGCTCATTGCTCTCCTCCCATTGATATTCAATTAATATCGCTCAGATTCGCTCGTATTGCGAATTTTATGTAAATTTACTTAAAAAAAATAATTTTCATTGTTTTTATATATTTTATATTTAAGTTAACTGTAAAAATGACATTCGTAGACAATATTAATAAAAAAAACTACTAATTGAAATTGAATACAAAAGACTAAACTCAGTGACTTGCATTCACACGCTCTAGTTCTGTGCTGATGACATAGACGAGTTAGTCTTCCTACCACAGCAGCTCGTTTTCTATGACGCCACGTGAACAATTGTAAGAGTAAGTTTATTCAGGTATACACAAATACAGTTACATAGAATTATCATACATAGCAGTATATGTGTAGAGAACCTGGGATAACCCAAAAAAGTCAGACAGAGTGACTTATTTCCATTGGGGTCCTTTACTTATTTCCATTGTATATGTAGTGCCGAATAGGTAAAATTGGTCAGTTAGCATGAACCAATTTAAAATTAAGTCCTTTCTAAAAATTTTCTCTTACACGTTTAAATATATACGTTTAAAGATATATTTTCTTTACGTTTAAAGATACATGTATATTTCCTAAGGTTCTTTTGTGCCAAAAGAAAATTGACCTAATTGACCTAACCTTATTATAACAAGCTCGGTTTAATTTAGCCTAATCCAACTAAATATATTTTTTTCGTTATGTTCAGAATGATTTTTGCGAAATTATTGCATACACAAATTTTCGCTTGCCTTATTCAGCAAGAAGAACAAAAAATAGCAAGTTTTATCTATTCGGCACGACATATATACCATTGTATGTTAACCGCTGAACGAACCTTTAAATGAGTCGCTCATTGTATGAACCAATGAGCAGTTATATGAACTGCCGAACCTTTGTATGAACCACCGAACCACTGAGCCATTATATGAACAGAACCATTACATGGATCACAAATTATTACAAAACTGGTTGAGATATTTTTTTCAAGCGAGCAAGATTCCGGTCTGAGGGAACTCTGAGGTCAGGGTCAGTTGGGGTCATATATTAAGAGCTTGCTCAGTTTATTCATTATAATGCAATTTAGAGAGCAATTTTGACTTAAAATTATAATTTAATTAAAATTATAATTTAATTATAATTTAACCAATTTAGTTATTCAGCAGAGGTCAGTAGAAGTCAGCAGATGATCTTTGGCAGTAATTCTGTTTACCTTCAGTTTCAGGGTTGTTGAGGCTTAGCTCTAGGGCCCTAATGGTTTCATAAGGGTGTTTTGATACTGGTGAAGGGTTCTTGAACCAAGGAATTGATGCTACTCCTCATCCCCGTCTCTTTCCTTGGAACACGCCTGTTTACCTCCCATTTATCCTGGTGCCGTATAACCCATATGGGTTTACGCCTCTCCATGGATATAATACTATGACTTTTTTGCTTCCTGACTCGACTAGGAATTGTCGTATCACCTCTTCAAACTGCGTATTGTTCCGCTTCTCTGCTTACAATGTAAACTTTTCTAACCCTTGTGAGTTCAGTTTTCCCTCTGTGACTTCTCTTTCTGGTCCCTCTCTTGCTAAGTGGTCTGTGTACATTTTATTATATTAGTATCTTGTATGTTGTGATCACCTCTCTCTCTCTCTCTCTCTCTCTCTCTCTCCGTTTTGTTTTGTGCAGTGTAGTGAGTTATAATTCTTGTACTGAGGATCTTGTATATTGTGATTGTCTCCTCTCTGCATTCTTGTGTCCAGATTGTAGTTCGCTCAGTCTCTCATGACATTTGTTCCTTGTTCATGGTACTATCCTTTTGGCAATCGTGATTTTCTTAAATGTCATTAGTGTTAAAGTGTGTCTGAGCTCCACGAGTGCACCGTGTGTCTTAGATGCGTTGTCAGCATTCCTGAGTGCTACTCTTACGTTTATCAGCTTAGTCTGTGCTGATTATTACTGTGTATTCATGGAAAGCACCTAACTCGTAAAGATCATTCATCACTATTGTGCTGATGCTGTTTTGTTTACATGAGCTCGGAGAAACATGTTCTGGGTAATGTAGAATTTGATTATACTCCTTCAGTTTGTTTTCATGTCTGGTGCTCACGCTTGAAGAAGAGGATGCTCAAGTTGACTTTCATATTTCTCTGTAGTTCTCTACACGTATATGTGTCTCTTGGCAGGGTCCAAAGATTTCATATATTATCATCCTTCTGATCTGATTTAATGGAAGGTGGGGGAGGGTAGGGCCATTTCTTATAAACCAGTGTCCATCGTTAGCATCAAGACACCCATTATCCCCATGAAGGAGACTGCTGGAGGAGCACTACTGAAGTCTCTCAGCTCATGCTGACGGATTTTTACGTGTGTGTGTGTGTGTGTGTGTGTGTGTAGTCCATCCTGTGTGATGGAATGTCACACGGAAAGTCACGCACATTCGAACATCCCAACTTTACTTTTTTTAATTTAGTAATTTATATAAGAGAAGGAGGTTACTAGTTTCTAGTTCACGGCATTTTAATCGCCTCTTACGACACGAATGGCTTACGGAGGAAGGATTCTTCTCCAGGTAGCTTTTGTTCCCTCTATGTAACAATCATGTGTGTAACTATCCTATTAAAAAAATGTAACATGTGATGAGAATTTGGCTACTGTCATTTTCAGAGTGAATGATATTGCAGTCTTACAAATATATAAAAGCGTCAGTTGAAAATATTTCCTGGTGAAATTATTAAAGCGTATTTTCTCTTTGTTTCAGCATTGGCTCTGTTTACTTGCGCCTCCTGGGCAGACTGGGTGGGGCACCTGGGCATCAAGCAGTCACTGCCGTCCATTCGTGAGGGTATCAGCAAGAAACAAGCGCTCACATGGAGTTCATCTTACAGTGACTCTCGGCACAAACCTGCAGGACTGCCTGATACGCACAGCTTGTCACGGTCTGAAGGAAGTAAGCTTCGTGAAAGCCTTTCCCAGGACAGTACCCGGCTTAATGATATCAAGAAAGACAGTGCCCGCGTTAATGATGTCACGGAAGACAGTACCCCGATTAATGATGTCACGGAAGACAGTACCCCGATTAATGATGTCACGGAAGTCAGTACCCAGGTTAATGATGACAGGGAAGTCAGTACCCAGGAAGAGGGAGTGGCAGAAGTCAGTACCCAGGAAGGGGGAGTGGCAGAAATCAGTACCCAGGTAAATGGCGCCACAGACGTAAGTACTCAGTTTAGTGGCATCACCGAAGCCAGTAACTTGATCAGTAGAGTCACATCCGCAACTAACTTGATTAATGATATTGATGAAAATGTCTTGATCAGTGATATCAAAAATAATAATAGGTCTACACCAATCGAGAGCATCGGTAGGCCTCCTCAAGCTCAGAGTACCAGTTCATTCAGCAACCGGTTCATCCCCCTTACAGATGTCAACAAACGGACTGATGTCACCACCAGCAACCAATTTAATGTCAATGTCATCAACACCCAACTTACTGGCATCACAAAAACTAGATCTCAACTTAGCATTACCAGAGACCAAACTAGTGACATCACGAGAGCTAATTCTACTCAACTTAATTACGTCAGAGGCACAGATGACCTACCATATGATGTCATGGGATCTACAGTACACTCTAATGACGTCAGGGAAGAAGGAAAGCAATCAGATGACATCAGAAACTCCATCATTACTCATTTTAATGATTTCAGATTATTAGGTAAAGTAACGGAGAAGAGTGGGGCCTCTGTTGGATCGGGAGGCGGTGAGCGTGCTGTTGATCAAGATGAGGTGGTTGCTACAACGGTGGTAACAGGTGCCGAAGGGGCGACAGAAATTATAACGGAAGTTTCCACGACAGTGAAGGTGATAGCAGGGGTTGACGAAATAACAGAGGCAGTAACAGGAATCGACGCAACAACAGATGGTGTAACAGAGGTCGAGACAACGATGGAAGTGGTAACAGGAATCGACGCAACAACAGAGGCGGTAACAGGAATTAACGAAACGACTGAAGTAGCAAAAGGGGTCGACGAAACCCTGGAGGCAGTAACGGGAATGGATGAAATAACAAAGTCGGCAACAGAAGCCAATGAAACTGTGCAGCAGATCAAGATGACAATGAGGAAGGAAACAGGAATGGCCACGGTAGCCAACGGAAGAAAAACAAACACAACGGAAGCAGCAACGGAAGATGACACCGTATGGGCAGACAGAGCCTATGACACAATGTGGTCAGAAAGAGAGAACGACACAATGGAATCAGTAGCAGACATTATAGCCTGGGCAGAGAGAGACAATGATACGATGTGGGCAGAGAGAGATGATGAGACAGTGTGGGCAGAGAGAGATGATGAGACAGTGTGGGCAGAGAGTGACAACATCACAATAGGGCCAGAGAGCATCCTGGATGAGCATGGGTTTGTTGTATCTCACTCTGAGGAAGAGCAGCTGGACCAAGAGGATGACCTGAAGATATATGAAGCGGTCGTCACCAGTATGGCACAGTGGGAACTACATAAGCTCAACAAAATGAACAAGTGAGTAGTCTTGTGTGGCGGTACAGTGTGGTGACATAATGCGACTTGGTGGTATTGAACACCTGTTTCTGTGTGTGATGGTTCAGTGATGCACTTAACAGTCTCCTTCTAGATTAATGATATATTTGCGTGGGTTGAGCGTTCCCCCCAACTGTAATAATAATAATACTAGTAATCTAACAGCCGAAGTTGCCACTGTGATTTATTGTCTGTATAATGTCTGTGATATTAGCTATATTGTGTAACGACTCTTTATCAAACTATATAATCTTTTAATGCAGTTATTATTATTATTATTATTATTATTATTATTATTATTATTATTATTATTATTATAGTGTATTGTTCTCGGGGGAAGTGCTGAAATCGGAAGGGTCACAGAACACTTGGGAAGGAGAGGTGATCATGTTTGATATGAGGGAGTCGGCGGAAGCTTCTAATTATACATTATAAAACGTATGACGTGTGTTTACACCTAGGAAGCGAGTGAGGCGGGACGAGGAGGTAGTGTGCTACATGGACCTTGGTTGCTTCAGGGACGAGGGACCCTTCGATTACCTGGACATGCTCCCCTCACCCCCTGAGGAGGTAAGTGGCTTCACCACGCAAAGGGAAAGTATGAGACCTACAGGAGGTAATGGGCTCCATGCTACTGTGGTAGATTAACAGCTCGTAGTCATTAAATTCAATGGTGTAAAAATCTTGTAGATGCCTGGATGTTAACTGTATTTAAGCCAGGAATCAGTGGCAGTTGTGCAAGTTACAAAGCTTACTTGAGTTAAGACAAGGAGGTATCACTAATAAATAAGGATACTGCAGGACAGTCAGGAGCCTCTAGCACTCATGGATAGGCAAGCAGATGTAGCTTAGCACTTTTGAGAAATAAAACATAGGCATTAATATCCTAGAATACCTTTGATAGTTTTTTTGTGTGTGGGTGGTGTCCTACCAACTCATCATATGTGATTATCGAGAGTGATTGTTGGACTATCTCTTCCACTGTGGTATCCATGCAAAAACTTGAAACACCACTTCTGATTGGCTTCAAACTTTCATCACTGGTACATCTTAGAGGATGGTTTGGATTGTTATTGAACTGTGTATGTGCCATTTTACTAATTCTGTAAATGAGTTAGTGTGGGTGCAAGATTGAAATCAAAAGTTAGTTTTTGCCAAACAGTCAAGGAGTAAGTTTACGTTACAGGTAGAATTTTCGGTGAGGTCAGAGTGCGTAGATGTCTGAAGTGAATCCTCTGTGCTTTCTAACGGTCCTCGCAGAGATGCAGGGCGTTTTTCTCTGTGGTATCCGTGAGGGAGGCGTGTCTTTCCGATTTTAAACGGAAGAGTGTAGTTTCTCATGTTCGACAGCGGTGGGAAGCTGGTGGCCAGGAGCCGTATTGTGATTTTATATGAAAAGGTTTGCTGTGTTTCAGTCCACATCAGCGTTGTTACTAACGATTTAGAAGTTGTTGAGGGGTGCTGAAAAAGTCTGAGAAAGCAACACCTCTAAGGAAAATTGGTAGCTCATGAGTCTGCACGTTCATTGTCCTAAACATCAGTGTCTTCAAGAACTCAGCCAAAAATTACTTCTTTGTGCGTTTTAGAAGTTCCACTCAACCACTGTTATAAGAACATAAGAATGTAGGAACACTGCAGAAGGCCTACTGGCCCATACGAGGCAGGTCCTTACATATACGAAGTGCAGTGGGATATCGGAATTCAGTTTCTGTGTAGCTGGTAATGCAGTTTGAAAATCGTAAACTAATGACGAGATGCACATTGTTACAATGTGTCTGATAGTGACGAGAATGGTATTTAACTTTGCTGGGCAAATGCTGACCAACTCTTAGTAAATGACCTTAAATTACTTTATCTGAAAAAAAAAATGAAGTAAACCGTGATCTATCTGGAGATTTGGAACCATCAGCGTACATAGCTGCAGCATGAGAATGCTACAGTGAGTGACTAATAGACATATGAGCCTTCGACCGTGGAAGGAAAAAGGAGCGAATTGAATAAGCGGAACTTTCCAAGAGGAATGGAGAAAGTAAGACTTGGAGTTAACGTAAATAGAAGGTACATGTTACTAGAGTGCAGATTCCAGGGCCATAATAAACGGGAGCGATGATTAAATTAGTGGAGGGATCATGAGGGTCACAGAAGCGGACAGAATAACGGAGACAATTGGCATCCCGTCCATCTTGCAAAGAACGGATGTTGGCCTCTTTATACACTACAGGCTCTCGCCTGTGGAAGATAGAAAAGCCCCGAGAGAAATGTAGATCTTGATAATGACTGGAATCGTGTTTAGAAATAGTGGGGTAGGCTGAGGAATATAATTGGCTTGCCTAGTCTGAGTAAGATTAGAGTTAAGTGTAGGCGAAGAAGGGTTTATTTATCATCTCCCCAAGAAAAATAAGCTGAAGTTTTGAAAAGATTCAGCCGATAAATGAAGAGTATAAAGATTTTCCTGCAATACTTTGAGAATCCCTCTTCTGATCAGCTTCAGACATTCAACGTTCGTTCTTGCGAACACCAGTACCCATTTTTCAAGCCTGCAGTACTGGGTTGTGCTGTTAGCAACAACCCAGTACATGTTCAACAGTTGGGTATCTTTATTGTTGAAACGTTTCGTCTACACAGTAGGCTTCTTCGGTCAAATACAGATTCAGGTGTAGTAATGAAATAAAGATGTAATCAGTCCATCATCATAGGAGAAATAGTATTTGATTTGGTCGGTCCCTCAGCCTGGAGAAGAGTTCAGCTCCATGGTCTGGAACGATATTCAAATTCAAATTCAAATTCAAAGTTTATTCTCTATAAGTATTACGATGCTGAGTTTACAGAAATTTGGTTATTGTGTGGTTTACATGTAGTAAAATAGTGATTACAGAGTGTACCACTAGAACGCTTAGCATGGCTAGGCATTTCGGGCAGACTTAGTTTTATTCTTAATTGTAAAATATTACAAATTATGAGGTAAGTTGGTATTATGGCTAAGTGACTAAATACTAGTTTGTGAGTTTAGCAATGTAAATGCTTTTGTTTTGGCACAGTACATAGTTTCAGTATTGGAGTATCACAGGATTCATTATTTTAAGATTGAGATTAATATTTCTGTTTATGGTCAAATGAGTCAGTGAGTGTAAGTGTGAACCACCAGGTGGTATTCGTGTAGTTAGTTGACAGGGTGTATCAGGGAGATAAGATGTTTTCTAATGGTAGTTTTGAAGGTGATGAATGTGTCTGCAGTTCTAGAGTTCTCAGGTAAGGTATTCCAGATTTTAGGGCCTTTGACATACATTGAATTTTTGTAAAGGTTTAGTCGGACACGGGGAATGTCGTAGAGATGTTTGTGTCTGGTGTTATGCCTGTGGGTTCTGTCACAACTATCAAGAAAGCGTTTTAGGTCAAGGTTGATATTAGAGGTTAAGGCCCTGTAGATGTAGAGTGCACAGTAGTAAGTGTGGATGTACTGAACAGGGAGTAAGTTTAGGTCTATGAAGAGTGGGGGTGTGTGTTGCCAGGGATGGGATTTAGTGATTATTCTTATTGCAGCTTTTTGTTGGGTTATTATTGGCTTTAGGTGTGTTGCTGCAGTTGATCCCCAAGCACAAATAGCATAGGTGAGGTATGGATAAATAAGTGAGTGGTATAGTGTGAGAAGGGCATTTTGCGGCACGTAGTATCGTATCTTGGAGAGGATCCCAACCGTTTTGGATACTTTTTTGGTTATATGCTGGATATGGGTGCTGAAATTCAGGTTGTTGTCAAGGTATAAAGCCTAGGAATTTCCCCCCATTATTTCTGGTAATTAGTGTGTTGTCAATTTTAATGTTAATTTTTTGCATCTGCTCTGCTAAAACATAATATAGTAGGTTTTGTCAGTGTTAAGCGTAAGTTTATTGGCTGTCATCCAAGTCGATATTTTGATCAGCTCCTCTTTCACAGTGGTTGTTGAGGGTGCAAGATTAGGGTGAGAGATGACATAAGTGTGTCGTCAGCAAAGAGAATGGGTTTTCAGGTGTTGGGATACGTTTGGAAGGTCATTGATGTAAAAGAGGAAGAGCAGGGGACCAAGGACACTTCCCTGCGGAACTCCAGTATCAAGGGGCCCCGTGTTGCTGATGCTGTGTCTTTAATGGTGACATACTGAAAACCTATTAGTAATGTAAGATTTGAAATAAGCAAGCGCATGGCCTCTTATACCGTAATGATCAAGTTTGTGGAGTAGGATGTCGTGGTCTACTGTGTCAAAAGCTTTTCTTAGGTCAATAAAAATTCCTAGTGGATATTCCTTATTTTCCAACGCTGTGTAAAGCAGATCTAGCATTTTTTTTGATTGCATCATTAAGCTTTTATTTTTTTGAATCCAAACTGGCAGGGGTTGGGGTATGTTTTGAGCCGTTATAAATGAATACAGTCTCCTGTGCACGAGTTTCTCAAAGATTTTGGATAGCAATGGTAAGTTAGATAAGATAAGATAAGATTTCGTTCGGATTTTTAACCCCGGAGGTTAGCCACTCAGGATAACCCAAGAAAGTCAGTGCGTCATCGAGGACTGTCTAACTTATTTCCATTGGGGTCCTTTAAACTTGTCCCCCAGGATGCGACCCAAACCCGTCGACTAACACCCAGGTACTATTTTCTGCTAGGTGAACAGGACAATAGGTGTAAGGAAACGTGTCGGAATTTCCACCCGCCGGGAATCGAACCCGGGCCCCCCGTGTGTGAAGCGGGAGTTTTAGCCACAGACCACCGGGCCACCTTTAGTTGTTTAAGTCTGTAGGGTCACCACCTTTATGTATTGGTGTAACCCTTGCCTTTGAGTAGTTTCGGGCTCCCCATTACACCGGCACTGAAATTATTTACAAATTATACACAAATAACACGCACATTGAGGAAGGAGCTTATAACAAAGTCGACCAGAACGGTTTTTAAGCTCCTCTTCCTATGTGCGGGTTATTTGTGTATTTTTACCAGTCACGGTATTGTGCCTTTTGTTTTGTTTGTCTGTCTGTCTGTAATGTATGTATATATATTATATATAATTTTATATTATATTATTTTTTTGTATTATTATGTATTTGGATTTGTGATATTTTTATATTTTATGTATTTTTTTTGTATGTATATAATTTAGTATTTATTATTTGTATTAGTTTATTGTTTGGTTTTTTTGAATTTTTGTTTAT